TGGCAGGTCTGGTGTTGTTGAGCAGAGGGAAACTAGTTTTATAATTCAAGCATGTTGCTTCTCACGCTGGTCAAAATGTCAAGAATTTTACACAGTGCTTACAGAATGAGAGAATATTTTATTAAAGACAAAAGACTAAATAAAAACTACAACTGATACTTAGCTAAAAAAAATTAAAAATAGCTTAATAGACGCAACAAGAAGGTTTTCATAGAAACAATAATTTCAAAGTGATAAAAACAAATTTTAAAATATATAATAGCAAGAAGTTAGCAGTTAAAAAGTGTATTGATTGTGTAGATATTTGACAGTTCAGTTAGTTGTTCAGTCAGATAAGGCAGAAAGTGAGGCAAAAATTAGTTGGGTACCTGAAAAGTACCTTGAAGTTTGAAAAAATACATGCTACACTCAGCCTAGAGGGAAACAAAGAGCTACTCTGCTTTTTCTTCTACTCCAAAGGAAGTGCAGTTGTAACAACGTGGAGCTATTTTCAGGAGAATCAGTGGGGTGCGTTTTGATGCCGCCAAGCCGTATTCATAAAAGCACCTTCATGGTAACTAAGCCTCCTCCAGAATCCATAAACATGCAAACATAGCAAACATTTCTCGATGTTAAAAGTTTTCTGAAAAATTCCTTAAAAATAGATTTTTTTTTTTTTTTTACTTCAGTGTGAACTAAGAAGAAATGTCTTTTTATTGTGAATTTTATGGGGAATAGCTTTGTAAATTGCTATCTTTATTGAAAGCTGTCGAGAGGGTGTGTATATTTGCATGCACCAGGCTCTATTCCTTACATTATATAAATAACCTTTTTCTCTACTTTAATATCACTGTGATCTGAATATTATAATGCTTTGGTATCACTGTTTGTGGGATGATGTTGCCAGCTGGCTAGTTGCACTTACCAACCCATCATAAGTAAAAGTTTTCCTTTCCTCCCAGGACTCGACGGGTTCAGATGGTTCCAATAACGTGAAGGGGAGGGGCAGGTCTCTGATGACTTTTCTACAAAAATAATTCTAGTAATCTATTCCAGGAATTCTCTAATGAAATCTTTACCTGATCGTCTGTGAATCTGTTTTTTTTCTTTGACAAAGGCACCCCAGAGACTTCACTAGGGCTTTTGTTTGGCTCCAACACAGTCAACCATTGGAAGGACATCAATTATATGCCTCTTAATTTAAGCTAGGAACTCTAATATTACCTCCATGTAAACTGTAAGAATGTCATATCGTTCAACTTTTAAAACTTGGATCAAAATCTTTCTTTTTCTTTTTGAGTCATTCTGAGAACATTCACATAAACACAACAGGTTTCTTTATGTAGACATGATTACTTACCACTTTGAGGGGATTGATGATTGCAGTGCTTTGTTGTAATAGCATCCATCTGTGTTGTTTTTCTTTTGAATCAAACATGTTTGATAGCAAACAGAAGAAAAAATGCTCTTTGTGGTATCATTTAATACTGTTAAACACTTCAAGACACTCCATCCATCCATTATCTTTACCCGTTTGTTCCATTTTGGGTCACGGGGGTCGCTGGTGCCCATGTCCAGCAATCACTGTGCGAGGGGCGGGGTACACCCTGGATGGGTCACAAGTCCATCACAGGGACACATAGAGACAAACGAGACAAACAACCATTCACTCTCTCACTCACACCTAGGGACAATTTAGAGTTACCAATCAGCCTAACATGCATGTTTTTGGTCTGTGGGAGGAAACCGGAGTACCCGGAGAAAACCCACGCATGCACGGAGATAACATGCAAACTCCACCCAGAAAGGCCCTTGGACCGGGGTTTGAACCAGGGACCTGCTCGCTGAGAGGCAGCAGCTCTACCAGTTGCGCCACCGTGCTGCCCTGCTTCAAGACACTTTTTATTAATATTCTAAACTGTGTTGATATGTAGTTTAGCAGTATTTTAAAGGTAGGTTTTCTGTAGACATGGACTGTATTCAATTTAGACCTTGAGATAAAATGTAAAATGTAAAAGAATTGTTAATATTTCTTTCTATTTTTAATTGCTAAGTCACTTATGAACTGTCATATTTTCCTGCCTCCATATCAGGGTTTGCTGTCTTACAGATAACTAACACTGGGCATGAGACAGAGTACTTCCTAGACAGATCTATTGTTCATTTTAATAATATGGAAAGCTGCACATCTTTCCTCGATTACAGTCAGAAAGATGCTATAAGTGCTATAATATAATTTTCATAATTGGGGAAAACACATGAAGTATGATGTCATAAAGAGGTCATAAATCGATGTTGTCCCTTTTTCTTTCCTTTTATTCTTACAGATAAGCTTATGTGCTAAGACAAGAACAGTGAAAGATGTTTGAGACATGTCTGCATTTGCACAAAGGACTTTTTCTAGTTTGAATATTGTACAAAAGTCTTTTGTGTCACCAAAAATCAGCGTGTAAATCGTGCTGAGATGTTTAAATAAAAAGTTATTTTTGTAATTTCATTAGTCTGAAGCACAAAAATTAGATTTATTCTTTACTCATCTATTCTAGAAACTGACATGTTGGAGGCTGCTGATCAAATTCAAAGCTAGAGAACTAACTACTGTGGACTGTATAATTTGTAAAATAAAAATAAAAAAATTAAAAACTGTAATGTTGGCATGCTAGTACAAATTCCATCATTTATTCCTTTCATCATCATATACTGATAATAATTTTTATACAGAGAAAATGGCAGCATTGTGGCTCAGTTGGTCGAGCTGCTGTTTCTCAGTGGGAAGCTTGCCGTATCAAATCCCAGCTGGGAACCTTTCCAGATGAAGTGTGTATGCTCTCTCCTTGCATGCATGGTTTTCTCTGGGTACTCTGAAGAAAAGATACAGATCAAAAGCAGAATGGGGTATAACAAATTTTGAATAATTCATATCAGTTAAACCATTTTTTAAAATTGTCTGAATACAATGGAAGACAAAAGAAAAAGAGAACATGCAATTACATGATTGTCACATATGTTTTGACTGTAAAAATCCTGGACTGATCAGTCTTAGGTCGTTTTCACACCAGATAGTCCGGTAGACTCCGTTAGGTTCGGGACCAATATTCATGAGCTTTTGTTTACATTTGAGCTGGTGAGTTTGCATTCACACTGCACTGTGCAGTCGAGTCAACCTGTTGAGCCAACCTATTCCCCTGCTCGCCTGTGGGGGCGCTGCACCTAGAACTGCTGAAAGAAACGACACAAAAACCTCTGAAGACACGTCTTCTTCTTCTTCTGTAAATAAAATAAAAACGAAGTGGCATCAAATTTTAGCAGTTTTAGGAGTTATATTTTGTCATTTTTCAAAAATGGACTTAGCATGAGCAGAAGATGAGACAGAAGACCATGGAGAATATTGTTTTCCACACAAGGCAGCTGGAGGCTTCATATAAGGTCAGAGAAATGCGTGTTTGTTTATCCTGCGGAGCGGGCCCGGTCTGTTTACATTCACACTGTACTCGAACCGCGCTGGAGTTCGCTTCTACCGGACCGAGACCTAGGTTTTAGCCCGGGCCAGAGTTCGCCTTTTTGTTCCGTGACAGAGTTCGATGGCGCGTTCACACCTCCCTAAACGAACCGGACTTTCTAGGAAAAGGAGCTAGAGTTCGATTAAAGCGGACTAAACAGGGCTAGTCCGGTTCGTTTAGAAAGGTGTGAACATGCCATCGAACTCTGTCACGGAACAAAAAAGTGAACTCTGGCCCGGGCTAAAACCTAGGTCTCGGTCCGGTAGAAGCGAACTCCAGCATGGTTCGAGTGCAGTGTGAATGCAAACAGACTGGGCCCCGCTCCGCAGAGTAAACAAACACGCATAGCTCTTACCTTATATGGAGCCGTCAGCTGCCTTGTGTGGAAAAACAATATTCTCCAGGGTCTTCTGTCTCATCTTCTGCTCATGCTAAGTCCATTTTTGAAAAATGACAAAATATAACTCCTAAAACTGCTAAAACTTGATCCCACTTCGTTTTTATTTTTATTTACAGAAGAAGAAGAAGACGTGTCTTCAGAGGTTTTTGTGTCGTTTCTTTCAGTAGTTCTTGGTGCAGCGCCCCCACAGGCAAGTGGGGGATAGGTTGGTTCAACAGGTTGACTCGACTGCACAGTGCAGTGTGAATGCAAACTCACCAGCTCAAATGTAAACAAAAGCTCATGAATATTGGTCCCGAACCGAACCGAGTCTACCGGACTATCTGGTGTGAAAACAACCTTAGTTGACATTGTGATTCTCTCCTTTCAAGATGAATGATTTTTTTTTTTTTTTTACTCAATAGCGACAGCCAAAAAAACGTAAAGGCTGTAACTCAATCATGTTTGTGGTTGTGTGTGTTTAAAAAAATAAATAAATGACAATTGCAATGCACAATTGACTGGACAAAAAAGATAGCAGCAAACATGTTCTATTTAATTATCTTTTTTTATACAATAAAAAAAATGACATAGATGTAAATTAATAATGATTTATGTCACACAAATAATCTCTGATTGTTTTATTAAATTATTCATTTATTTTATTTTTATATGGCTTCTGAGGATTGAAAAGTTGTTTTTGTACTGCATAATGTAAAATACCATTATTTTGTAATGGAAGACAAACAAATCCCCTTTCTAGGAAATGTTCTTTAATTAACATGGGAAATACGGGAAGGCCACACAAATATTTTCTTTCGTTTTGTCATACTTCTTTAAAATTAATTATTCTGTTAAAGTTGATACATGTAACAGCCATGTATATAAAGCTATCAATATATTAAATATTTTGACAATGTGCTGGTTTGCTTCAATTTACAGCTCTTTATTACTCAGTGTGAAGTACAAATATAACCAAATGATTAAATCATATTTGCTTAATCCATACATAATCATTCGAGATGTGTTTCACAGCTTGAGTACCTTCAATATTTTCGTACAAATATATGCTTTCACTTGTTTATATAATCTATTTCTTGTAAGAGCATTTATTAAACACCATTTATTTTCTTCCTTCCTAGGCGGAGAAGTTCCCTACACTACGCTTGCAACAAGGATGATGATGGGTGTGTGGTGGATGTTCGCTCTCATCGTCATCTCTTCATACACTGCCAATCTCGCAGCTTTCCTCACAATCTCACGCATCGAGAACTCCATCCAGTAAGTGCTCAATTCTCCCCTGAGCTTCAAAGCAGCTAATTTTTGCAAGGTTAAAAACAAACTCCAAAGCCCTCACGCAACTGCAAATTCAATTTGGAGGTATTGATTTTATTGCTGCATATTATAACTTATCGAAAGCAGAGAACAGTTTGCATGCACAAACAGAAATGGATGCACACCTTTTCACATTAGGCATCTTGTGATGTGTTTATAACCACTTGTTACCGACACACACAGCGACACACTGCAGGGTCCCTCATTGCATCTGATTGTTACTCAAAGTGAAAATTCATTGTATCAGCCAGGTGTAATATATGACAGACACACGGACATCCCCCCCCAACACCCACATAGTTATTTAACATTTTACTGCCTGTCTCAGCCCTGTTATAGTCCACATTGTAAGGTGGTAGTCTCTATCCCCCCTCTCATCTGTCTGAGCATCCTTGTGTTTCACTAATGAAGATGAGAACAAGATAAAAATTGTGGCTTTTTTTTTGTATCCTCACATTTTAAGTATCAACAAAGCTGGAAAAACTTTGCACTTGAATTGCTCTCTCTCCTTCTTTCTCATGCACACGCACACACGCGCGCACACACACACACACGTTATCTCCTCCAGCTCTTTGTCCTCAGTTTATCTATCCTTGTGATAATATCCTACTTCTCTCCTGGTGGCACTCGGAAATGCTCATCTCTCATTGGACTAATAAGCATGTCTAAGTATCCGCTATGCCCGGCAGTGCCACAGTTAATTGTGCTTGGCTTTGGAATAAACAACATTATTTCTCTAAACTGTGTCACTATCCCTCTCTTAATTTGTTACTGACATTTTTATTTTCTGTCATTTTTTTTTCTCTTGCATTTCTTTCCGTGGGTTTTTGTCTTGGTTTTCTTTGGTCTCTAATATATTTTTCTCCTTATTGTTTTGTCGTTTCCAAAATATGTCTGCCCTGTGTACTAGAAGGAGAAGGGCTCTTTCTTACCTTTATTATCCTTACGTTGATCATTTAAATGTTATTTCAATAACACGAGTCTCTCACTCTGCTGCTTTGGTTACTATCAGTATACCAGGTTAAACTTGTTCACACATTTATAAGCAATTGTGTTGGCGTGTTAATTCATATTTTGTCATTGCTGCTGCTATATGCTGCATTGTGATTGGCATGAACATTAAACTATGAATATGTGAGTTACATATCATGATGTTTGGCTAAAACTGAATGCATTTAGTGTAACTGAGTTATAGTATGGGTACAGAAGCAACTACACAAGCTAAAGGAAGAGAAGCCCAGGAAAGATCGGAGGCATGACTCTCTTCAGTGTCTTCCATCAGAGCAGGCATGCTTTTTAAGTATTAATGCCCTTGTTTCATCCTGAAAATGAAATAACAAGTCAGCGTCAAGAAGCCTCCCTGGACTATTTCACGCTTGGATGTTTTCCCTCAATTTCGATGTGAATCCTTTAGGAAAACGGTGAAGACTGACAGAAAACAGCAGCAAGTTAAGGTGCAAGGGAGTACTGAGCAGACAGACAAAAAGGAACAAGCATCTTAATATGGAGATGGGGTGAACAAGAAGAAAAGATGAAGGTTTCAAAGGAAAAAAGGCTAAAGGTTAAGAGACAGAGTGGAAGACAAAGAGAGAAGTGAAGACAAACAGGAGTACAGAGGCATGAAACCGGAAAAAAATTGACTAGTGATGACCCGACAGAGCGGGAAATGTATTTTGGAGAACTAAAATGTTGGGAAGCAGACTGTCTCTGTTAAGAGGGCGATTAGATGGAGTGGAAGAATTGGTAAGAATAGGCAGACTAAAGGATGATGGTCTGGATGAACATAAAATGTTGCATTTGTGTCAAAATCAAACCAGAAAACCCTCCAGTGGGAGGTGGATCACAAACACCCAGGCTAACTCAGCTGTCTCCTTTTTAGCACTTTGCCCAACGGTGTTGTTTTTAACATGCTTTATTAATAAAGTTGCATTATTGTATTGTAAAATCTTCTAACAGATGTAATATTCTAATGGCTAATAGCTTCTAAATGTAAACGTTAGTAACTTCTGTATAGTGTTGCTGATAGACCCATTAACAAACTCCTCTCCATGTTGTTCATGTTTCTGTTTTATGTTGATTCTGAGTTGTTGTTTTTTTTAAAACACTATAAATCAACAAACAGATTACGCTTCATCATCAACAGTCTGTAGACTGCTTACTTACCACCATGGCACAACTCTGAAATGCAACTTTGATCTGCATACAATATTTTCTCTACAACTTTGCAAGATAATTCTTAAAAGTAGTAAATAAAAGTAAACAAATTCTGTTGGATACATCCAAAATTATTCAAACTGTATAAATATGGGAGTCCAACCATCCATCCATCTGAACATCCATCCATCCATCTGTACATCCATCCATCCATTCATCCATTATCTTTACCTGTTTCTTCCTTTTTGGGTCACTGGGTTCAGTGGTGCACATATTCAGTAGACATAGTGCGAGAGGCAGGGGACGCCCTACACAGGTCACAGATCCATCACATAGAGACAATCGAGACAAACAACCATTCACTCTCTCACGCACACCTAGGAACAATTTATAGTTACCAATCAGACTAACATACATGTTTCTGGTCTGTAGGAGGAAACCGGAGTACCCAGAGAAAACCCACGCATGCTCAGAGAGAAAATGCAAACTCCACCCAGAAAGGCCCCTGGGCTCCCATATCAGGTGGCATGGTGGCGCAGGTTGTAGACCTGCTTTCTGAGAGGCAGCAGCTCTACCCTCAGTGCCACCTGACATGGGAGTTCAAACATTTAAATTGTTTTGTACACAATTTAAAAAAGTAACCAGAAACACAGGTAGTCAATTATAAAACACAATCAGTGTCACTAAAAATCCACACTTGAAGTTGGTAAGCAAGATTAGGTCATTACTTTAACATCATGTCTGACGATGATGATCATTAGGTTGATTCACCTGTTTTGAAATAGAGTTCTGTGGAAAGATTATAAAAAAATTAAAATCTTACCTGTTGTACAAAGCTCTCCAAACCTTTTAAGGTTGAAAAAGTAATATATTGTGTTGACCTAATTATCAGACAAATGACAACTCCAAGAAAGGCCAATATGATGAAGATGATTTTGTTTTTTCAATCCAAATCAGGATTCTCCTTTACATTTTGTAGTCTGGTGGACCAGACACCAGCACCTTCATTGCACCATTAAACAGTTGGTCATTGTACATACTTTTGTGATGTCAGGCTTTACATTGATTATTCACTGAAAAACCCAAATTTACATTAAAAAAAATGTTGCTCTCTTTCAGTTGTCAGTCTCATTCTCTCTTATTCACTCTAACACACTCAGTGACACACACACAAACACACACACAAACACACATGCACAGTTTCACACACATACAGTATTTGTCACAAAATACATTCAACTGCTTTTCACTTCATTTACTTGCTCATTGAGCTGCTTAGGGGAATATAATTGCTTGCAAAATGAGTTAACATACACACAGGACAGAAAGACAAGTGTATGCAAATCCACATGCACAGAGAAATTAAATTCACATAAAACAAAGACAATTAAACACATAATATCTATATGCATATGCTTTCATGACACTACACATGAGGATTCCACAGTTTCCATGGTTCCTCCTAAGGTGCCTCATTTGAGAGATTCCAGTTTCCATGGTTCCTCCTCAGGTGCATCATTGAGGGATTCCACAGTTCCTATGGTTTCTCCTAAGGAGCCTCATTTGAGAGATTCCAGAGTTTCCATGTTTCAATTCAATTCAATTCAATTCAATTCAATTCAAAAATACTTTATTAATCCCAAAGGGAAATTATTTTGTTGTTGTAACTCATTATCTTCATTAAGAGATATTATAGATGCTGATGGCTGTAGACAGGAAGGATCTCTTGTAAAGGTCCATCCCACAGTGGATCCTAAGAATATGGCTGCAGATGCCGTCCGATTCGTCCACGCAGACTCGGATGGCCTCTTGGTTCCCCCGGGCTGTAGGAACGTCCGAATGCCGGGCAGAACTCCTCCCAAAGAAATGGTCACTCCTCCCAGCAGTCTGCCGAGCTCCTCGTTGCTGCGGACAGCCAAATGTAGGTGCTGAAAGACGACCCTGTCTTTCCGCTGTCATGAGCCGTGTTTCCTGCTAGTTCCAGGATCTCAGTGGCCAGGCACTCGAGCACAGCTGGCAAGTAGATGAGAATGCATCCACAGAACATCATTTTCAACTCATTTGAGATTTGGGGCTGTAGTTGAGATATTATTTGAGGTTTTGAGATGTTAATCAGCTGCTGTTGGTTGTAGAAAACTGCCTTGTTGCCATGGTTGTGTATCATAACAAATGCCCAAAACTAAAAAAGTTTCAGTAAAAATCCTTCCAGCTGAACAGCATCCGATACCAGAGGAAACAATCCTCCAAAAAATGTGATTTACATCCATAAAAAGAGGAATTAAAGTTTCCAAAAGCAAAATCTCAGAATTAAAGTAACAGAGCTACTCCAACTAGCAGCCACCGTGAGCTGCGCAATTCTAGAACTTATATATATGTAGCGCCCCCTAACGTCCTTGGCGTTATGGGGGTAGATAACCCGAGTTCTTTAAATCGGTTGGTATCTCTACCTGAATATTCTAAATGTATACCCCTTATACCACGAAGTATAACACAGTAGAATAAGCATACGTTTCAAACAAATAAACAGTTTAATGAACAATAGCACAGTTTCTTCAGTCTGTAATGAAATAGAAATGGTATGCTTAACCTCGTTAAACAGAAAGGAAACTTAAAGCCGGCAGCTAAAAATTTGTTTCGGTCGTCGCAGGCCTGATGTTGGTGCACTCGCGTGCTTCCCGCTCTTCCCATTAACGCTGCCAACAACCATGTCCCCCATCACCTGAATACGTCCCTCTCCAGGAGGTCGTATGTGCCGTAGTCCATCTGCTTCCATCCAACGTCCTCCCCAGGGT